AAAAAAATGCATCCTGTGAAGTAACCCTTTAAGTAGATTGGAGATACTGGTTTCTATCCATTTATAAAATAAACATTGTGTTTATTTCATTAAAATTAGCAAACCTCCATGAATGCCATTTATGTTCAAAGAAATTGCTCTAAGTAAAATATCTGCCAGAAACTAAAAGCACTTTAAAGTGGTTTGGCATTACTGCTGTCTTGGTTATCATTATGAGGAGGGACAGAGTCACATCTATGGCCACTAGGGGGCGAGAGTACCTTATGGCTTCATCACCAAACAAAAAGAAAGTGATCAGAACTGTGAGATCCCAGACTGTTATTGCAGCGTCTGGTAGGAGCCAACACCTCACAGAGATCACAGAAACCTGCTGGTCCTCCACAGGGACCCACTGAAAGGTGCACTACAATCTGGGGAAAGGGGAGATAAGCCAGAGAAAATCTGGCTTGTCTAACTATCCTTCTCACAGAAATGCCTCTAGAAAACACATCTGCAGGGCATGGTGGCGCATGCCTGTAGTTCCAGCTACTTGGAAGGCTGAGGAGAAGGGATCACCTGAGCCCAGCAGGTGGAGGATGTAGTGGCCATGAGCATCAGAGTGAAACTCTGACTCAAAGAGAGAGAGAGAGAGAGAGAGAGAGAGAGAGAGAACATCTGATGAAACTATATATATATCTTTTTTTTTTTTTTCCCAAGTCGGAATCTCACTCTGTTGCCCAGGCTGGAGTGCAGTGGCACACTCAGGGCCACCCCAGCCTCAACCTGCTGGACTCAGGTGATCCTTCTGCCTCAGCCTTCCAAGTAGCTAGAACCACAGGGACCCGCCATCACATCCAGTTAATTTTTTTTATTTATTTATTGTAGAGATGAAGTCTCACCAAGTTGCCCAGGTCTCGAACTCCTGGGCTCAGGCAATCCTCTTGCCTCGGCCTCCCAAAGTGCTGGGATTACAGGCATGAGCCACTGCTCTGACTAACACTATAAATTTGAAGTGTTTGGATATTTTATGATTGTTGAAGTGATCATTATACTTTTTTTTTTAGTTGGAATCTCACTCTGTCACCCAGGCTGGAGTACAGTGGCACCGTCATGACTCACTGCAGTCTCAACCTCCTGGGCTCAGGTTATTTTTCTGCCTCAGTCTCTCAAGTAGCTGGGATTACAGGAATGTACCTCCACACCCAGCTAATGTTTTGATTTTTTTGTAGAGAGGAGATCTCAATATGTTGCCTAGGCTGGTCTTGAACCCTGGGCTCAGGCAATCCTCTTGCCTCTGCCTTCCAAAGTGCTTGGGATTACAGGAGTGAGCCACCATACCTGGCTGCAATTTCATCTTGATTTAATATTTCTTTTTTTTTTTTTTGAGTTGGAGTCTCACTCTGTCGCCTAGACTGGAGTGCAGTGGCCACTCCCGGCAACCACAGCCTCGACCTGCTGGGCTCCGGCGATCCTTCCGCCTCAGCCTTCCAAGTAGCTGAAACTACAGGCGCGCACTACCATGCCCGGCTCATTTTTTATTTATTGTAGAGATGAGGTCTCACCAAGTTGCCCAGGTGGGTCTCGAACCCGGCAATCCACTCACCTCAACCTCCCAAAGGGATGGGATTACAGGCTGAGCCACCGAGCCCAGCTGAGACTTCTAACAAAAAAAAAAAATCATAAGATTAGCTGGGCGTGGTGGTGCACCCCTATAGTCCCAACTACTTGGGAGGCTGAGGCAGAAGGATTACGTGAGCCCAGTAGTTGGAGGCTACAGTGAACCATGATTGTACCACTGCACTCCAAACTTGGGCAACAAAGTAAGACCCTGACTCAAAATATTAAGTTTTACTTAAATGAGCCAAGGTTCAGTGGTTCATGCCTGTAATCCCAGCACTTTAGGAGGCCAAGGGGGGAGGATTGCTTGAGGCCAGGTGTTCAAGACCAGCCTGGGCAGCAAAGTGAGACCCCTGCCTCTATAAAAATTAATTTAAAAAACAGGCCAGATTCGGTGGCCCAGCCTTTAATCTCAGCACTATGGGAGGCCAAGGCAAGTAGACTGCCTGAGCCCACAGGTTTGAGACCAGCCCAGGCAACTTGGCGAGACCTCATCTCTACAATAAATCAAAAAATTAACCAGGCGTGGTGGCTCATGCCTGTGGTTCCGGTTACTTGGAAGGCTGAGGCGGAAGGATTGCCGGAGTCCAGCAAGTCGATGCTGGGATGGCTGTGAGTGTGCCACTGCTCTCCAGCCTGGGCGAAGGAGTGAGACTCTTACTCCAGAATAAAATAAAATAAAATAAAACTTGGCTTAAATGAATCTCCTTAAAATACCCCTAGAACCACTGATTGCCTTCATCAAATCCCTTTCATCTCCATTTATATGAATAAACAATTATAGCCAAAAGCATCAAATTTTGCCTTATTTCAAGAAAGCAAACTGATCTGGGCTAGCACCTCTTTTAACTTCAGCCATTTTCAGTTTTGAGCACACATTATCTGAGTGTATATGCTTCAACTGAGTCAGCAAGGTAGCAGAAACTCAGTGGTATCTATTTCTTGTGGAGAGGTTTCCAGGTTTCTTGGATTAGATTCGGGGAACTAAGCAGCAAATGAGAAGCAAGGATTCCTTTCTTTCAGCACCTTGTATTGAAGGCAGAGTAGTCTAGCCTCATGTGGAAGTCTAGACATAATCATCATAGCAATAGTAATAATAACAATAGTGATAACAGCTAATGTTGAATTTTTACTAAGTGCCAGATGATGTACTAAAATTTTTTTTTTTCTTTTTTTTTTTTGTGAGTTGGAGTCTCACTCTGTCACCCAGACTGGAGTGCAGTGGCCGCTCCCAGCCACCGCAGCCTCGACCCACTGGGCTC